GATATTCAATGTGCGAGCTAGATCGTTAAATATTGTCACAGCCCGATTATCTATAGCTAGCCCATATTAGAAAGCCCGAATAAATAAGCACCTAACAATCCAATTCCTTGGTTCACCTGGACCTTATTATTCATTGACACCAAACGTATGAAAATTAATGGAAGAATTAATAAAAAAAGGGCATGCAAGTTGCAAGATATAATGTGTGGTGGAACTCTGAAAAGTTGGGAAAAGGCTGCCAATGGGAGAAATTCTGAAGAAGCAATTTATATTATTTTTTTTTTTCATTATGCATACAAATTACAAAAAAGTTGGCAAGTTGCTGGAAAATGTGTGGTTGAAACTGGAAAGGGTCACGTTTTATTCATTTTGCTTTATTTAATCTTAGTTTTGTGATCTTTCAATTTCTCATAAGTTGTATATGTAAAGGATTATGAGTATAGTAGCTGCAAATTGCTTAGGGTGTGATTGTTTATCAACCAATTAAAAAAAAACCAATCAAAACTCAAATTTAACTCAACTTTAACCCAATTCCACTATCTTCATTATTACCAATATAATTAATTAATACCAACCAATCATTCTTACACATCACATCAATTTTAATTCACTATTCATCCACTCACATAATTTTAACTAACCACTACTTCCAATCATTTTCTCTTACTTTTACATCATATCAACTTTAATTATTTTATTTTAAATATTATTTTAATATATCCACTAACAACTAATCATACTAATTTTTTTTAAAGTAACTATAGTTAAAAAAAAATCAATTAATTTCTAGATGAATTGATAAACAATCACCTCCTTAGTTGAATGTGACATTCTTGCCAATGTTGTGTCCGTATCACTCTCCAATATTGGTCCCAAGTTCGAGGCCTATCAGGAAAAAATGGCCATTTTATTTTGTGCAAATTGACATTTTTTTGGCCATATACGTGGAAATGAAAAATGAAACTAGTTAAAAAAAAATGAATTATCATTATTCTTTTTTTTTTCCTCAAGCTATTTTAATCATATATAGAAATAAGAAAGAAAATTGGGCAAGATAAAACCTAGCCACACAAATCCTTACGATTGTAATGCCAAGAATTTTCAATATGATAATCTATACTTATATAATAAGAATTACTCCCTCCATTTTGAAATATAAGGCGTATAAAGATTTCTCAATTTTTTTGAAATATAAGGCGCGCTCAAAAATCAAGACAAATTTTTGCATGTTTTTCCAAATATACCCTCATTGTGTTGAAATTAAGGAAGTGCGGAGTGGTTGTGATTAGAGTAAATAAGGTTAATTTAGTCAATTTATTCATTAATTAATGTCTCCTTAATATTTGTGCAATAATCTTAAATGCCTTATATTTCAAAATGGAGGGAGTAACATTTATCCAAAATAGTAGGTCAAATTATGGTCAATGTCGGATTTGCATTAAATATTTTCTAAAACTGGTAAGTTTTTGTCCTTTTCACACTTCTCATTAATTATGTCATTTTCACACTTCTCATTAATTATGTCATTTTCACACTTCTCATTAATTATGTCTTTTTCACACATCTAATTAATTCATTAATTACGACATAATTATCATAAATCATTCCATCTGAGCTTTTATCGTGAAAATGTATAGCGATTTGTTATGACCTTATCCCATTGATATTTCCATGAAGCGTCCTTATCGCGTTCTATTTTTTGGTAACCGCTCTATATTAATAACCGGATATTTGGTTAATGATAACACACGTCTTTATTTCAAGGAGCGGATATTCTTTGACCTTTAATTAATCTGAACTGATTGCCTTGACTTTTCAATTTTTAAAAACTCTTTTCTTAAATATTTCGGCTTAAGATTCAGATTTCATTATACAAGTCATCGGATTGTTTGAATGAAAATGAATGAAAAGAACACCAACAACATGTAGCCTTATTCATATAACCAATCCTAAAATATCAGTTTGTTCACCAAAAAGAGACAAATCTTAGAAATCCTAAAATATTAGTTTGTTCACCAAAAATATTAGTTTGATTTTTAGGATTTGTCTCTTTTGAAAATATTAGTTTGTGATAATGAGGAGTTAACAAATAATCAAACTCATAATGTTGTGTACAATGAGGTTTTTAATAATATATGATTGTTACCGAACTTTTTATGATTCAACAATGTTCCTATGTATTTTAACGATTTCAATTTCGATCCTAATGCACGTACTTATCCTCCAAATAAATATATCCCGTACTTCGCACGGGTCACGTACTATATATCCCGTACATTTTTCTTTTTCATGTATATATAAGCCTAGATAAATAGCTTTAAAATTGTGCACCCCGTGCATCGCACGGGCTCTGTACTAGACAAAAGACTAATCAATTCTATTATATGTATTATTGACCTTTTGAAATGGTGGATCGATAATCTCATTTTTTTAAGTCTCATCTCTTACGTTCTACGCCTCTCGTCCTATTAACTTACGTTTTCAAATCATTTAAATTAGGTGTATTTCGAGTAATGAGGCACACAAATTAAATAGACAAGCATAAATATGACAGGCAAATTAGTCTAATAATAAATCCTAAAAATAATTAAAAAATGGAAATTAAGGTTCATTACATTCTTTATCATAGACATCAAGCTAACGCGTGTCCAGGGCATTGAAATTTGAGAACCCTTCATGCTGAAGCAAGAACATACGGGAAAATATCATGACAAGATTTTTTTTCTGGACGCATTTTTTCCCATTTTTCCACTCCGTGAATGATTGTTACATGCACAAAATTTGATTTATTGTATTTAAATAAATTAGGTTTGATAGGATGTTTTCTTTTTTAAATGTTATAGTTTATTTTATAATTAAGTTGTAGATTAACTTTTTAAACTAATAATTAATTAAAAAAGTCAATCGAAAATTTTTAGTTTAGGCAATTTATAAGTCAATTTTAACAAAGACTTTTAGAATATATTTGGTAAATCTATAACTCACAATTGATAAGTCAGTTGTAGCTCATAATTTAGTTTGTAGTAGCTTATAGTATATGACTTATGACTGAAAAACTAGATAATATAATAGTAGTGTCTCATAAGATTAGCTAATAAGTCATTTGTTATCCATTAGATAGCTTTTCAATTATAATTCATTCATTACTTAAGAATTCATTTATTATTTATCAATTAACTTTTCAGTTAGATTTAACTACCATAACTAAAAAATTATTGAATGTAATAAAATTTGAACAAGGTGGTCAAATAGAATCCCCCTCTTTTGTACATTGATTTGGATTTTAGTTATGAATTGAAACCCTAATTTTAATTTATTATATACACATAAGTCAACACTTTAATTTATTATGAGGCCAATTACGTAAATATAAACAAACATTGAAATTTAAATACGACTTCTTTAGTGGTGTATGTTTTGAATAAAAAATCTTCAAAATTTTTAAAAATATATTTTGAATATTTTTTTCAATTAAACTATTCATATGTAACCAAATTCACCTATTTTCATAGAAAGAACTAAAAACTCTAATATATTGATGATTATTGGTGAATGGATTATTGGTGAAGGGAAATTGTATCCAAAGACGTGTCATATGGTTGAAGATTTGAAAAAATAAATAAATAAATAAATAAATAAATAAATAAACTGCTCTAAATTAAATATAAAAATGTATTAAAAAATATTAATTGTAAATAACTGCAAAAAAAAAAAGGTTAAAATGATCCATAAAAACTAAAAAGAGTAAAAATGAAAACATAAATGGCAGTTTTTCCTTGATATTAAATCACTTGCCTTATTGTAAATGTTTATTTAAAATGGACACGCAGTGTCTTTATTTCCAGAAGTTGGCCAATTTTTCAAGAGAAAATCATATCGTTCACCTTCAAAATTTATTTTATTTTTTACATCAACTTTTTCATTTTAATTAAAAATATACTAAATTTTACCAATTCTGAATGATTTATATTTCTTATTTTTATTATTAATTTTTAAATTATATTAATTTCTATTTATAGCTAGTTTATGTATGGAGTATGGTTGTATTGGTTTACTTTAATCTTTTTCAAAATTTACAAAAAATGTAGTAAACATGTAAATTACCCATCTGCTCAAACATGCATATTAAAATATTCTAATATATTATAAATTTATGTAGTAATTAAATAGCAACATTTCTACTTTACATATTTATTTTATTCTTCTCTCCGTTTTTCTCCATTTCTTGCTTTAATGTACAAGATTATTTGGGTGCACAATTTTAATACTATTAATGAACTATTGAAGAAGTCATGAACTTTACTTAGTTGGAAGATGAATTTAATTTACATCGTAGTTATTTAATTATTTTATATATCAAAAAATGGTTTGTTTGATATTTCTTCTGTGAAAATTGTCGGAGCAGAGTAATGTGGTTCCCAGTCAACTTATTTTATGTTGTGAAGGTGAAAAAATATTTTTGGAGCTTATAAAAGAAGGAACAAACCAATTGGATCGTTCCAAATTAGTAGGCACCGCNAAAAAAAAAAAAAAAAAATTACTTTTTATCACACAAATGTGTCAGTTAAAAAAATGAGTAATGCTACAAATACATAATAATAATAATAATGTACATGAAGTGTACATAATACTCACATTGAGTGAGTCCTACCAAAACTAAAAAATTAAGTAGTTACGTACACCTCTATGTACATTTATTATGTAGTTGTAGCATTTTTCAAAACGAATATATATTCTAGAGTTTTATACTTTTTATATTTCTTTTTCCATTTTATTAATTTAAAAGATTCTTTTGTATGCGATCTTTATAAAATTTTGTTAAACACAAAACACGACAAATATTATATTGTATTCAAATAAATCTTAGAGGGCAGAAATCAGATAACATGAAAATAGTTTTGAAAGTTATTCCATTTTTATGTCAGTTTTTGCTCCACTCCGAATTATGTTGGTTTGCTTTAAGATTCGTATGATAGTTGAATTACGAAACATCCAATATTTTCTAATTTTCGTTGCATAGAGAATAGAGATTATAAATGAAATAAACTTGCATATTCTAATACCATTCCTCGACTGAACTGGTAAAGATCGAGATTCTTCCAATGCTCGAAAATAGGCATACGGACCCCATCCTGCAGTTTTAAAAAAAAAAAAGTAAATAAAATCATTATGCTTACATTTGAAATAAGAGAAATAAGGTAGAAAGATGCTTACATTTAAATTCTAATGGCCTATCGAAAATAAATTTCTTTATTCTTGCATTTCGGAATATAAATAGTTGAAAAGAGAGATAAAATACGAAAAAAAAGTACTTACCTTCTATATGGTATGGAGGAGGGAAAAACTGCAGATAACAAAATGTAGCTACCGTAAGACCTGAAATGGCAGACATTGTATTAAATATGATTTGGGACTGATTAATTAATTAAATTAAATTTTTCTATCATATCCAAATGAAGAACACACCTAAAAGACCACCAGCAAAAACATCTTGCCAGTGATGCCAATAGTCATCCACACGAGATATACCAACGAGGCAAGCAGCAAGGATCGGAAAAAATATTATGCATAATTTTGACACATGCCCACGCCTATCGAAGCATTTAATTTTTCCTGACAAGTACAATGCTAGAAAACCGAGACCTGCAAATGACCCTGCATAAGGAAGAAGATTTTTTTTAAAAAAAAAGAAACACGAAATTTATCAGAAAAATGTTTTTACTACAACAATTATATATATGAAAAGGAACATGACTTGAAGCAAGAAAATGTGCTTACATGAAGTATGACCACTTGGAAAACTCTTGTGCCCTTCTCTTACCTCACTATCTTTACCATGACATATCACATTGCCTAACGTATCATAAGCCTGACAAAAAATTTAATTTTAAGTTAAAAAAATAGTAGGATAGAGTAGTAAAGCAAAATTTTAAAAAAGAAAGCAAATTCAAATTCCTAAAGTTAATGTATATGTATCACCGATTATATGGAACTAAAATATGCACAATAAAAACCAATGAACTATTCAAAATCATCCACAATTTTTTTCTGTTTTGACAATATAACTCACAAAAATTAGGGAAAAAAAAAAAGGCTGTCTAAAAGAATTAGAATTGGCATACATCTCGTCCATCAGGAAAGCAACGCCAGAAAAAGTTGGGTCGTGGTCTGCCAGTGGCATTTTTAATTGAATCTGTTAGAACTCCAGTTATGAGCACAGCAAACAAGAGCCCTGCATTTTAGTAGCCCACACATCATGAACTTTGCATATTTACCCCCAACATAAACAAAAAAAATCCTTGCACTAAATTAGTATAACACAAGAAAGTCAAATAAGAAAAGCCTGTACGGTATTACCTAAGATAGCATGATGGAGATCGTAAACATCTCGCCTTCTAAGGTAATACAGGACGAATATAGCAATGGGCAACAAAATTGCATATATCTGATCATATGAAAACCATACTATCAGCAACATGTTATCAATAAGGACCATAAACAATATTAAGGCAAAAAATTAAAAAAAAAAAAAAAAAAAAANTTAAAAAAAAAAAAAAAAAAAAAACTCACAGGAACTGCCCATACTGGCACAGTGTTATCTTTCATGGGATATCTAAGATCCGTCATCATGTCACGCCCAACATAACGGTAAAATGGGTGCATGATATTCAGAATGATCTCTATAACAACAAGCAATATTAATATTAGCCAATCGTGCTTGTGACTCTTCGCCACACGTCCTCCGTGAGACTTTATTGTGTGCTGGCAACCAAGTTCGACCTCGTTTTGTTGAACCTGTTTGTTAGAATGTGTAAAACAGGCGATAACGACATGAGTTTTAGATTTGCAGATGTCAATGCAAAAAAAAAAAGATCTGTTCTAACAGATAGGGAGGAGATGAATCCAAAACCTTAAATAGAATGAAGAAGTTGGAAAAGATAAAAATTAAATTTTGATGCTTCAGAGAGGTGATTGATAATGGCTTCGTTGAAGTCAATTTAGGAAAGCCCATTTTACATATTTGAGCCAATTCAGTATTTAAGGGCACTTAAAGTAATCTATAATATAAACTGGCCAGATGAGATAAATTCTTTCACACTAATCTCTGCTACTTTATACCCAAATCAACACAAAACCAATAGAATCTTTTCTAAAACGTTTAAAACACAAAACCAATAGAATCTTTTCTAAAAAGTTCAAAACAGATAGCTTCTGTGTCAAACCGGTTTCTTATTAGATGAAAAACGTGAAAAAAAGAAAACAGACAAAACTCAAGGCAAAAAGGGTCAGGAAAAGTTACAAACCTGAAACATTTTCCAAAAAAATAGCATATTTGTCCAACCCATTTGCACACAAATCAAGTCGATTCCTAAATCGCCGGTATACCTACGGATAAAACCAGGTCGCCACAAAAAATAATGAGATTTCCGGTTCTTGTTGGGACTAAAACATTAGATAAGGTTCGATCATCCACACGAATCAATATTAAATAAAAAAAAAGCGTAAAGATTGAAGACCCATAACAGGGAAAATAAAATCAACGCGTCAGTTTTTTCTTGCAATCAACTTAAAGACAAGGCAAATGTGGATAATACCTTGGATTTGTTCTTAAGGCTGGTGAAATCAAAGGAACCCCAGTTGGGACCTGAACGAAGCCTTTGTATATTTTCGATAATTATGCGACGCTCTGCAGTTTTTCACGCCAAGTAAAAGGTGGGGTTATTGCTTATTGGGGGGTTTTGCGAATTGTGGGGGAAGAAGAAAGGGTGCAAATTGGAAAATTGGAGAACTTAAGGGGCGCCACTGAAATTTTAAAATAATACGCTAAAGGTAGTATTCAGTTTGGAATTTTGAATATGTGAAATTGTGAATATAAAAATACAGTAAGGTACGTATAAAAACCATTATTGAGTATTGAGTATTGACATTTGTTTTTGAATTTGGAATTTTTCGTGCTGATCGGGTCAACACGCGATGTCAGCCGTTGGATTCCTCGATAATTCTTTTGCACGCGGCGAGAAGGTCTGACTTTTCGTTGTTTGTTTGTGTGTATTTATTTAATTTTATTTTTACATGACATGCCTGCTTCCATATTATTATTTTCTTTTTTTTTTTGGCGAAACTTCCATATTAAGTTTTAATATAGTAGAAATAAGTGTTCTCCGTGAGCACATGTTAATATATCCACTGCTTATATGACATGCACCCATGTGATGTTAATATATTAAAAAAAATACATCATTAATGTGGAGTAAATTGCACCAAACCCCCCTGTTTATGTAAATATGCGCGTTTTCCCCCTGTGTTTTAAAAACTGCACCATACCTCCTTAGGTTTTACTTCCGTTTGCGCGAATTCCCCCGACCGTTTGAGTTGACGCGTGTGTATAAAACGCGATGAATGAGCAAGTGTATGGATATTTTTTTACCGTTATTGTGTCTAAAAGATTTTTACCCTTAGTAAGGATCTTTAAATAGCCCGCCTCTCATGTTCTTCTTCCACACCATTTTTAGAACACCTGGGAGAGAATTTTGAGCACAAAAAAGGTATTTTTTTCACAGCTTTCATTTTTTTTTTTCGTAGCTTTGAATTTTTTTTTTCAGCTTTCAAATTCAAATTTTTCCACCCTTAATTTCTTCCTTTTTTCCCCAGATTCAAAGACAAAGAAAGATTGAAAATGTCCCAAAAATTGAAGATGGAGAAGATTGACAGTTTGGATTTACGATACCGGTATCTAAAGTGTAAATGCAATGTGTTTGCACAAATCAGGGTAGTTGATCCTACAAAAAGAACAGTTGGAAAGCTATTTTGCAATTGTCCGTACAATAAATGTGACTTTTTTGCTTTATTTAAACCTACGACAGTGAATTGGGTGAAGCCGTGTGCTCATGAAAATGAAGATTATGATGAAGATGATGATGAAGTTGAATCAACTGCAGCAAATTTAGCAAATAAAAATACTGAAGTCACATCAATGCTGAAAGAGATGCATTCAAGGATGGAGAAATTTGAAAAAAGATTTAACAATGGAGTGATGTTTTTGGTTATTGTAATCCTTGTAGCTGTTATCATTCTCAAGTAATTGTAGAATGTAATGCTTGATAATGTAAGCCTCTATTTTGTATGAAACTCGAGATTAGAATGAATGCATGAAAACCTGCTCAATATCCTGGCCAACAACATATGCCAAAACAGACTTATAGCAATAGACTTATAGCAACATAAATGCCAAAACAGAAATAAGCAACATATGCCAAAAACAGACTTATAGCAACATAAATTCCAAAACAGAAATAAAAAACATAATCCAAAACAGACTTATAGCAACATAATACCAACATATTATAAATCCCAACCAAGACAGAGTTGTTGCAACATGCATACCAACATAACAAAACAACAGCAACCAAATCCTTATAGCATATCCAAAATACTGGTCAAATTGTACCAACATACCACATCCAACTTACACAAAATAATTTACCAACAATGGCCTCATGACCAAAAAAACAAGCAATGGAAGGCCATTTCAACAGGACCAGAGGAAAAAGCCTTACTGAGTAGATCTTTGAGGGTAAGTATTGTGGAAAAAACCTTCAACAGGACCAGTAGGCTGAGATGGATGTTGCTGCAAATGTCATGAATGTACAAAACAATTAACATGAAATTTTGTGAAGTTTAATGCATAACATGATGAAAATAAGAATATACTTGTCCAGAAGCACCAGAATTTTCCCTAGCCCTTTTGATGCAGCTCCTTTTATTGTGATTTTTCCCCCCACACAATTTGCATATCTTAAGATGACCCTTTCTGCTCACACTTCCTCCCATAGTCCTCATGTCATTACCATCAGCCCTTCTTTTCTTTGTTGGCCTACCTCTTTTTTTCACAGGATCAGGTGGTTGAATTGGGCCCATTCCAGACTCCTCAAAGTCATTCATCCCTGGAACAGGGTTGATCATATTGCTATACACCCTCACATACATTTCTTTTTTAAAAAAATCAGACACATAGTCAGAAAGATTAAACTTGTGATATGAGATGCATGCTAGTGCATGACAACAAGGATAGCCAACCAACTGAAACATGCCACAGGTGCAACTTCTAGCATTCAATTGCACAACATGACTCTGAAACCCATGCACCACCTCATATTTATCTTCTCCACCCCAAGTTGGGTAACAGTTTCTGCTCAACATCTTTTGCTCTTCAATTTTTCTCACTGTGTTTGGGCATATATCCTCTGCATATTTTTCAATACCAACTCTCTTCACCTGCATCCTGGCCATCATTCTTCTCCTTATCCACTCAAACATGTCTATGATAGGCATATCCCTAGCTTCCAAGATGTAACTGTTGAAGGACTCTGACAGATTATTCACAATAACATCACACATTGCATTGGAAGTGAAGAAACATCTTGCCCAGTGTTGTTCAGGGATAGTCTTAAGCCACTCAAATGGAGTAACCTTTCCATCTTTCTTTGGGACAAGCCTGTGGATTTCTTTCATACACCTAATGTGTTCTCTCACATTGTATGTGCTGGCTGCCTTCTAAAACCACTTTCTTAATTCCAAATCACCCCATTTCTGCTTGAAATTGTTGTACACGTGCTTCAAGCAATACCTGTGTTCTGCCCCTTTGATTTGACCAACAGCATCAAGCAAGCCTTTCTGTCTATCTGAAACAAAGATCCACTTCTTCTTTAGGTATGGGTCAATATCTCTTAACAGCCTTTGAATGAACCAATTCCATGAGTCCATCTTCTCAACTTCCACATAGGCCATTGCAATAGGCAACATGTTGTCATTGCCATCCCTGCCAATAGCTGATAGTAGTTGACCACCATGTAGAGTCTTCAAAAAACATCCATCAAGCCCTATAATGGGCCTGCATCCAGTCACAAAGGCCTGCCTCATTGCACCAAAACAAACATACATCCTGACAAACTTTGGAGGTGTAAAATCATGGTTCAGTTTCAGGATAAGGGTGCTACCAGGATTGTACTTGACTACAGTGGAACAGTAGTCATATAGTCTTCTAAATTGCTCCCCAATGTCAGCCTTCAACAATGACAAACCACAAGCTCTAACTCTGTACACCTTGTGAATACTTATATCAACCCCACAATCTCTCTTAATTTTGTTTTTCAGACTTTGGAGTGGCTCAACAGGATTGTCTCTCAATGTTTCAATCATCCTTCTCCCTAGGTACTTGTAATATGCCTGTTTGTTTTCTGTCCTGTAAGCACATGAATGTGTGCCTTTCAGGGTCTTGATATGAAATGTTGACATGTCAGATATGACTGAGGCCCTCAAATACCAGTCACAACCACTTTTGCACTTTGTTTTGATGAGCTTAGCTTCATTCTTGGGATATTGCAAATCATAATCCTTTCTGACAGACCAGTCTCTAAGAACTTCCTTGAATTTGCTTCTGTTTGGAAATTTCAGACCAACCTTTAGCTCAAACCTTGCCATACTCATGGCATCATTCCATTCATCATCCATGTGAAACAACTTCTCATCATCATCCTCAATATCACTGTACCAATCTGATTCATTAGACTTTTTCTTCTTTTCAGCTTCTTCTCTTGCTATTTTTTTCTTCTTTCTTCTCTGTTTCATCCATTCTTTAGCCATCTTGTGAACTTTCTTAGCATGACCAGGATCCCTCTGCTGGAATATATCATCATCTTCAGGGCCTTCTAGATCTTCTAACTCCCATTCAGACAATTCAGATGACATGTCCTCACTACTTTGGCCAGGTACATACATTTCATCCTCTGAATCATCCTCAGTTTGGTGTCCTTCATCCTCATCATGTGATCCAGATTCTCCCTGTGGTGCAGTGTCATTAGGTATCTCATGTTCTTGGCCACCATGTAATCCACCATGTTGTGCTTCAAACTCATGAAGCATCTCATGTTGTTGGCCACCATGTGATCCACGCTGTTGTGCTTCAAACTCATGTTGTGCTCCATCTTCAAAAGGTAGATCATCTTTCTGCCCTTCAGGTTCACCCGTATAGCTTGGTTCTGGTATGGCTTCTGTAGTTTCCTCATCAGCCTCGTCTATAAAGCTCTCTTGAGTATAGGGATACTCAAGAAGAGGTATCTCTTCTTGTGTAGGCATGAGGTTCCCATCACTGTCTATCTGTTGTACAGGTTCCTGTAAATCCTCAAAGTATAGTGGAATCACATAAACCCCTTGATACTTCTTCACCAACGTAAGGATATCTTTATCAGAGTCTATCTTAATCCTCTTCTTTGCTGTCTTTAGGGTCACCCCAGCTTATGTGAGAAAACTTCCACAACTGATGATTTTCCACCAGCTGTCTTGTAGATATCCATGATTTCAAACATAGACAACTTGTCCACATCATCCCATTGAACTGCAACCCTCTGCCCCCCAAAATATTGAAGAAAAGGCTCCCATTTTACCACTCCTCCAACTCTAACATCAAAGCAGACAACCATCCTACATAAAAACAATAATAACATGATCAATATTGGTTAATGCAATGGAGAATATAAACAAAAGGGACCACATTGTATACAAATAAAAATGCACACTATATATTGTTGGTTCAATTGAATTGTTGCCTTAAAGAAGGGACCACAAGATATACAAATAAAAACATATACACATGATATCAGAAGAAGGGAACCACAACAAACTATTTATACTGGCTTAGTTGAATTTCACATAAAGACCTTCAGCAAAATAAACTACAAACCCTAAGGTCATATAGGCATTCAACAAACAAGCTTTGTTTGATATTAGAAGGAGAGGAAGGGAACATTTGCTGGCACAGCGGGATAATACTACCAAAACAAACTATATTTGTTGG